AAAAAAAAAAAAAGAATAGTAACAATAGTTTGCTTTCTCTCCTTCTCTTTTAATACTAATTTATCATGTAAAATTTCTCATCAGCTCCTTAGTTTTCTGGGCATAAGAGGGTAGGAGTGGGGAGGGTATACAAATTCCAACTTGCAAAGCTTACCTGGTGTCAAATCATACACTGAAGTGCTTGACAGTTTCTTCAGTAGACTGGGATTGCTCAAACGAAGCTCCATACAAGCATCATCTGTAGCATCAAATCCTCCTCGTTTTTGATATCGGTACTTTGCATTTGCTGATGTTACATCAGCACCTGAAGCTAAGATGTGCAGTCTGAGGATTTCTGAAAGAGTGCAGCTATCAAGATCCAGACTTTTCAAACTGCAGCCTATAGTTGTTAAAAATGAAATAGTCATTTAAAATATAAACAATAAATAATAAGGAATGTAAATGTACCTTTATAAAATTAAAAATAAAAAGCCAAACAAAAAAAAATGAAACCCACACATACCCTGGTGTAACTGTGGCCATGCAGCTGCCAAAGATGCAACTGCAGACAGTGCAGATTTTGTGGGGTCTGCATCTTCATCCAAAGCCTCTGTTAAATCTTTAAGGAAATAAATACTTTATTCTAGTGCAAATCAAAGCTTGAATATTTGGGAATAATGCCCGTTTTAAGTGATGAAAGAAACAGCAAACAGCTTAACATTCAAAACCTCAAAGGAGCAAACACTAGGTACAAGCATTATTCACAATCTGCCTCATCGCCACCTATAGCTATAAATCCTAAATCATCCACTACACACTGACATTTTCGTAACTTAACAGAAAAGACGATTTCCAAATTACCAATCACATGTAAACAAACATCCCCCCAAAAGATAAAATGCACTTTAGAATTAAAAACAAATCCTCTCACTCAATATAACCTTAGAAAAGTCTACTGTGAAATTTGGAATCTATTTAAAGATACCCCCAATCTTTTATGAGTTTTTTTTTTTTTTTTTCCTTTCCCTTGAGACGGAGTCTCCCTCTTTTACCCAGGCTGGGGTGCAGTGGCACAATCTTGGCTCACTGCAACCTCTGCCTGCAGGGTTC